TCATGAATCCTAAATCAAATAGATTTATCCTGGCCCTTGGTGAAGTCTAAAAACCAGTGAAGCTTATGTTAAATCACCCTCTCTGGGCTCTTGCTCCCAGGCCCATAGTCACAAATTCACCCTAATGAGCACTCCTGAAGAAGCCTGCGACAGCACCGCTAAATTAAGAGCAAAGGGAGCCCAGGGCAGGGGAGAGGGACTGTTTGCTTTGGCTGGGAAGGTGGCTGGGCCCCAGCTTGCGTGTTTGCCTGACAGGGAGGCCTGATAAGTGGGCTGCGTGCAAAGAGCTGCCTGTGCCATCTGCTGCGTGTGGAGAGGCTGCTGGCCCTGCGCCCTGACCTGGCCGGAGAGGGTTCCCTGTCACCACGTCTTGGGCTTCCTTTGCAGCCCATGGTCACTAAGAAACCAGGATTACTTTCCTTCCTTTAGGCATGAAACTGAACTCTCGAACTTCTGTTTGTTTTGATGAATTACTTCCAGGCTGCTGTTTGTTTGGAGAACAAAGCTCTCCTCCTGTAGGAGGGGGAGGCCAGAGTCACTCTTTTTTTTCTTTTCGTTTTTCCCTACTGGTTCTATTTCCTGAGGTCATGAGACAAACATTGGACTGTTCAGTGGTCATCTTGGCAGCTGTAAAGGCAGTGGGGTCCCGTGGAGAGAATGGGAGACCAGGGCCATCTTGGCTCTGCCATTTGTTAGTTTCATTAGGTTAGGCCAGAACCTCAATGTGTCTGTGTGTCCTCAGTGTCTGTGTGTCCTCTTTTGCTAATGGAGCTCATAATCTTGGTGGTTCTGTGTATCTCACAAGCGTGCTGAGAACATCAGAAAAAATAATATAAATGAAGGAAAAACCATTTCATTAATATGCCTCACCTTCAGCCCAGCTTCCTGCACTGTCTGGGGACAAGGTCAGTAGGAAGTAACCATCATGACATAGACTATGGGTTTGTATCTCTTTTCCCCTTAATAGGCTGAAATATACATCTCTATGATGTGTACAAAAGCTGAGCAAACATAACATTAAAATGCTGCTTCCACACAGGCTTCCTGAGGAGAGGGACGGTGGTTTATTTGTATGCATATATGACCCGGGAGCTTGGGAGGAGGAGTGGCATCCAATTCCATAATAGCTTGCCTCCAGAAACCCTAAGAACCTGGAGAGAGGATGAAAGGCACCCAGGCATCGAGGACTCTCCTTCACAGTGTCACTATGAGTCGCCTGCGACTTGAAGGCACTTAACAACAATAACAACATATGACCCAGAAGGGAACTTCCAGCATCTAAGGACAGTCTCTGCACTTACATTCTGGAGACTGTCACCTCTCACTTTCTCAAGGAATTTTCTGCTTCAGCTTAGTCTTCATTTCCACATCATCAATTTCCCTTTTCCCCCTGGACCAGTCCCCTCAGTATATAAACATATTTTAATAGCACCCCTTTAAAACAAACAACACCCTTATGTCCTCTTAGCTGCAGCCCATTTTCCTGAGCCTTCTCACAGCTCTTCTCCCTCAGGGGAGAATAGCCTCTGCTCATGTCTCTGTTTCTTCCTCTCCTGTGCTTCCCTCAACCATTCAGGGGGCTTCCAGTCCCTATCTCCTGACTGAAATGAAGCTTGTCCAGGACTACTGTGATGAGCACAGTGGCCAACGGTCCATGTCCTGCCCTTGCTTTCTCAACCTTTTAGCAGCACTGAGCCCAACTAAGTGCCTTCTCCTTGGAATTGTTTTTCTAGATCTGCCTAAGGCCACACTCACTGTTGTAGAGTCCCTTCTGTCTCCCTGCCCCTGTTTTTGTCAGTGTCTGTGGCTGGCTCTTCCTCTTTGACTTCTAAGTGTCAGAGTGCCCAAGGGATCTGTTCTCAGCAATCAACATAACCCTGCACTGTCAGAAGGAGACTCTACCCAGTTCAACATCTTTAAACACCGCCCACACATGGTGACTCCCACACTTAATTTTCTCACCCAGCCCTCTCTCCTGGCTCCAGATTCACATGTTCGGCTGCCTACTCAGCACCTCCCCTTGGATGAAAAATGGTAGTGACTTTTCCCACGGCCACCTAGGAATTTCAACAACTCCAGCTCTTTCCCTCTGAAATCTCGTCTTCCCTGCTTTTCTCAGTTTCCTGAGGTCAAAGATTAACGACAAGCCCTGCTCTGTACAGGTCAGCTGTGTGCAAGTGAGCCAGAGGTTTGCTCAGGGATGGAGCACCCTATCCAAAGGATGGCCTTTGCCATGGGTGTCATTGTGGTGCTCTTAGCTTCTCAGGACCAACGCCCAGAAGTCAAGCTCTCTCTCCTGCTTCCCTCACACCTCACATCCAACCTACTGGCAAATCCAGGACACTTTCATCCTTTCCTGGTCTTTCAAAGTAGTCTGAGAAAGTCTATTCTTGGCCTTTTATTACCACAGCCAGGGTAATAAATTACAGCAGCCAGGGTCAGCATTCCAAAGCATAAGTTAGATTCCTCAATTACAATTACAAAAAGTTACAATTTATCGGGGGTTTGCACCCCACCTGGAATACATTCCAACCTCCTTATGTGAGTCCATAAGGCCCACATGATTTGGCTTTGCTTCTTTGATTCCTGAGCTCAAGTCACGATGGCCTCCTTCCCTCCCGTGCCCAAGAAAATCTCCTTTCCAGTCAGGGCTTGCTATACCTTGAACGTGTCCTCTAAAAATGTGTGTCAATTTGTTACCAGGATTATGTAATTATTTTCCATTTTGTGGTCTTATGTAAGTATTCTGTGGTTTATAAATCCTAACCTCCTTGGTATTAACAAGGCAGGATTAGAGGCCAAATATGATCTGTGTAATCTCTCATGGGATGTGGGAAAGACTGAATAAGTAAGCAGAGATCAAAGAGACTTAAGTACCAGTCAGAAAGAAGAGCTGGGAGCAGTGTGTGTCCTTTGGACCTGAGGTCCCAGTGCTGAGAACCTCCTAGACCCAGGGGAAGCCAGATGCCAGGACACAGGAAGACCTTCAAGGGATGCAGGACAACAGAGATACTGGAAGGAGACAATGACCTTCCCCGAGAGCCAGCAGAGATTGAAAGTCTTCCCTTAAAGCTAGCACCCTGAATTTGGTCTTCTAGACTTCAGAACAGTTGTTGCTGTTACGTGCTGTCGAGTCACATGTGACTCAGAGCAACCCTATGTACAACAATCCTAAACTCTGCTCTATCCTGTGCCACTCTTATTGTCTCTGACACACCTACCCCCATTACCCCAGTCACTGAATCAATCCATTTCATAGAAGGTCTTCTTCTCCTGTGCTGTCCCTCCCCCCTCCCAAGCATGACATCCCTCTTCAAGGACTGGTCCTTACTTACAACATTTCCAAAGTATGTCAGCCGAAGCTCCTGAACTGAGAGAATAAATTTGTTTGTTAAATCTGTGCAGTAGTGGTATCTCTGCTGTAGCAGTTCCAGAAATGAAGACAGGGTACCTCACTTTCTGCTTAGGAAATATGTTCCCAAGACATCACATGGTTGTTCTACTCTCATAATTTAGCTTTCAGTTTGAAGTTCTCTTCTCAAGAGCCCTCCCTCACCCACCCCAGCCTTCCAGTTGCTGCTGACAGCATTATATGCTTTAGCTATGTTGCAGCATTTATTAGCTGTGACTATGAGATCACTTCCAATGCCCTCATTTCTTGGCTGGATTATTCTTTACCTGTCTCTTTCCTCCACCTACCTGCTTCTTGAAGGCATGGCTTGGTTGTGTCTTACTCACTGCTGGAGCTCCAGCACTGGGCACACTGCCTGGCACAGATGGTACCTAACACAGTGGTATTTCCCTTCCTTTTGTATGATCAGTTTACTTTTCTCCAATGAATTACCCTGTACTTTCCTTAAAGACACTTCTCTGATTTTAACCATTTCTCCCCCATTCCCTTACAGTGTTTGTTCATTGACTGACCATTCCAGTATTTGGGGAATAGATGGGGCCTTGGTGAATGTGGAATCTAATTTTCTTTCTCTCTTTTAAAATTTTTTTCCAACTGAGGAAACTGTGGATAACAGAAAGCAAATTAGTGGTCAGTGTGTCATAGAAAGTTGATGGCAGAGCTGAGATGTCTCGGCTCTCAGAAAAGTCCCGATGATGGTGCTGATGGTGCTGATTCTATGGTGAGGAGGGAACAGTCATCCTGGTCAGGGTGTCCACATGCTACTGGAGAGGATGACACAATCACACATTTGTTAGGGTGCTCCATCCTGAGCAAACTTCTAATAGATAAAAAGTTGAGTGTGATACTGAGAATAGGCCCTTCAGGGCAGAGGTCATCATATGACCTGAGCCTGCCATTTCATACCATTAAGGGTCTTGTGAAGCAATGTTCATCTTGCCTAAGAGCCTTCGGATTATTGCAAAGGGGCTAAAACTGAAAGCAAGTCTTGGGTAAGAGTCAGGGGAGGACAGGAGGCAGGAGAAGGAAAGGCCTATCTAGCAGAGGGGCAGCTGCCAAGAGGAAAAGGTGGGGCAGGTGAGTGAGGAAGGCTAGGAAAGGCCCTCTCTTTTGCTTCCTGTTGTCTGACATTCACACACATTTCCTGTCACTTAGCATATCCTTGGGCCTGAAGCTTCAAGTGGTATTTACATCCACAACTCCTTGGCAAAGAACTATAATCAGCATCAGGGTGAGATTTCCAGTCAGAAATTCAACAAATTACCAAGCCATCAAGCAGCCCCTTCCTGTCTGGACAGGGCTGGGCAAAGGGGAGCCCTGCTTTTGGGGTCAGAGAACAAAAGGAAGGGCCTGAAAGAAGGAGAGGGAGCTTTGCCAAGGGCAGAAAGAACATTGAGGGATCCAGTTCCTCAGCTCTGTCATGGTACCCGCAATGCTGTCCTTCTAGGCTTCCTGAGGACAGCCTGAGGACAGACACAGGTGAAGTGACCAGAAGGTCAGGCCTGTGACTTTGGGAACCATACAGGAAGCTCCCTGTTTCCTTCTCTCTGTGCTTGTATTAGCTTTTCCCGAGTGTTGGTGAACAGAACTAATGGCCCTGTAGAGGCCAACGAAAGGGTGACTTACATTTCTTCTGCAGAATGCTCTGTCTGGCCTTGATGAATGCCAGGATGTCCGAGTCAGTCTGGCTGTCACCGGTGAGAGGGATGGATGACATGGGCCTCTCCAAGACTCTGGGGCAACCACATACTGCATTTAGTGCGCCTGGTGTTTAGACTCAGCCCTTAACCCTCTAGAAAGCATGCCCGTTTTGGCAACTGGGCAGCATGCTTCCCGTGCCTCCCTCACCCCTGGCATTGTAGCCAGACTGGTCACGTCATGTCCTTGCTTAAAACTGTTATTGGTGTTTTGGTTACTCTTGCCATGAAATGCAAACTCTATTCTGTTACCGCTCAGGTTCTGAATAAACTCACCCTTATCCCAAGTCTTCTAGACACCTTGACCTGGATTACATTACTGAGCACTCTCCAGTCTGAGGGTCTTTTTTTTTTTTTTTAATTTTTTTCCCCTTGGACTCCTCTTCTCCCAGACCTTCATGCAATCAAATCTCTGCTGAGCCCCACACTCTCAACTTTCCCAAACCAATCTCATTTTACTGAAACCTGTCTCTGGCAGCCACTTGCTCAGATAACACATCCTTAGGAAGTCTCCCCAGCGAATTCCCATCTCCACGCCCCCCACCAAAATCCCTTCCCCTTCCCCTCCAACCAAACTTCCAGTTTATATATTTGTTCCTGAGGGACAGATGATTATTCTCCCCTCTCTCCTTAGAAATAAAACAATCATATTTTGCTGGGCAAGTTGCCCTGCAGCTAGGAAACCAAACCAAACCAAACCAAACCAAACCAAACCAAACCAAACCAAAACAAAACAAAACAAAACAACATTTCCCAGCCTTGCTTGCAGCTATGGTCAGAAGGTGTTGGCCAATGAGATTTGTAAGATGAAGTGTTGAGTAGAACACTTTGGGCAAATCTTCTTAAAAGGGAGGGCTGTTTCTATCTTTCTTTCTGTTTCTTCATCTAATTATACTCCCATTTAAAAAAAAAAAGGAAATAAAAAGGTTCCTTGCAGGCACCCTCCTGGCTTTGTCAATAAGCTTCTGTCCTCACACTCATCATTCAGCACTGCTAGTGACAGAATGCATGTTCCTAGAAGGCAGTGGGGATTGCCTGTAACTTGGGGTTTTCACTGTTACCGAGATTTCTAGTTTCTGGGCATTTTGGCTACAATGCAGTGAGAAATACTAAAGTGGTAGTGAGTGTAGGGCCTGCAACGGACTATTCATTCCTGGTGGGCCGGGGAAGAGCAAGTGGTGGCATTCCTCTTAGGGCAGCCTGTGCGGAAGAGTAGGGTCTGCAAGGTGAGGAGGAGCTGGTAGGGATTCTCATTAGAGGGCAGGGACCATGCTAAGGCCTGGGTGTGCCAAACAGCATGGTGTAGGAGAGGGGCTTAATTAATTTTGTTCAGCTCAGAAGCCACTGACTTGTGGGCCTTAAGGGCACACTGCCCACTCCATGTCCCTGCTTCCTGTCCCAGGACAGTCTGTGGTGGGGCTGAGGGCGAGGATGGAACTGCCTCAGAAGTAGTTGTTCTTTCCTTGTGCAGCACCAGGCACACGGGTTCACAAGGATGGATAGTAGCCCTACACACACAGGGCTCTAATGAGCCTGAGAGAAAAGGCCCCTGCTCTGGAGTCAGAAATCTTAGCAATTATAGGGGATTCTCAAGGGACCAAAGTCAAGGGCCAGCCCTACTGTCCTGTCTGTGGTCAAGAGTTCCCTGGGCTGTGGGAGAAACCAGATGCTGATTTAGACCTGCCCCACCTCATACAGAGTCCTGCTCCAGGAGCCTAGGGAGCAGATGAGCCACAAACCTGTCTTCCAGGGCGGTGTTGGTGCTGGTCTTCTCCAACTTATACACTGTGGGGCTCGGTGGCGAGGGCAAGATTTTCCGGGAATACACTTTACTGAAAAAAGCAAAACCAATGAAAGGTAAGGGAGGAAGCTTCCAGAAGCAGGATTTGGGAGTTAACATTTAGAAGCTAAGACCCCTCTCTTTTGAATGATCTTGGCACCGATTTTCATGATTGGAACGTTGCATATGTTGACCGTGGCAGTGGAACAGCACGCTAGGCCCTGGGAGAGTATTCTGTAAACACTAAGCTGTTCAGCCTCTCCACAGCCTCAGAGGCCGTGCCACAACGCCCATCTTATAGATGAGAAAACAGAAGCTCAAAGTGATTAGGGACATTATGGAATTACCCAGTTGGCAAGAGTCAATTTAGTCCCAAGGTGGTGAAGCTTCAGAACTTAGAGTGTCCGAGCGTGTGTTCTCAGGCACTCATCATTTTAGAATGATACTGCCTGGAGGCACATGGAAACTGGCTGTTGAGTCAACTATGATTTATGTTGCTGTTGTTGTTAGTACCACCGAGTAGGACTCACAGTGACCCTATGAGCAATGGATCTGAACCCTGTCCTACCCAGAGCCAACTTCATAATCTCTGACATAATTGAGCTCATTGCTGCAGTCACTGCGCCAATCCATCTGATTGAGGGTCTACCTCTGTTTTATTGACCTTTCCAAGCATGATGTTCCTTTCCAAGGACTGGCCCCTCTTAACAATATGCCCAAAGTATGTGAGATGATGCTTCATCATCCTTGCCTCCAAGGAGCACTCTGGTTGCACTTTCTCCAAGATATAGCTGTTTGGTTTTTGGCGGTTCATGGGATGGGTCTTCAGTACTCTTCCAACACCATAGCTCAAAGGCAACAATTCTTCTTCTGTCATCCTTATTTACTGTCGTGCTCTTGGAGGCATAGTCAGTGTTTGAAAAGACCATGATCTGAATCAGGCACATCTTAGTCTTCATACTGGCATCATTGCTCCAACTAATTTGGAGAGGTCCCTGACAGTAGTCTTGCCAAAGCAATATGTCTCTTGTTCTCTTGACTTCTGGTACCAAGGGTATTGATTGTAGATCTTAAGTAAGATGAATTAGTTGACCATTTCAATCTTTTTTTCCAGCTATCATGAGGTTGCCTATTGGTTCAGAGGTGAGGATTTTTGTTTTCTTGCTGTTGAGATGCAATCCATATTACATCCATGTTGTGGTCTTTGATCTTCTGCAGCAGGTGCTTCAAGTTCTCCTCACTTTGAGCAAGCAAGGCTGTATCATCTGCATAATGCAGTTACGCAGTTATTCAGTTCAAGCTACACTGAAGGAGCTGGAAAAAAAAAATCTTCAAGAGTTGCTGGGATACAAATTGAAACGTTTCAACAAAAAGAGGCAGCCCTAACATGGTCAGTAGTCTATGCCGGGAAATTAGGAGCAGCTTCCTGGCTGATTGGAAGAGATCCGTTTTTGTTCCAATTCCCAAGAAAAGTGATCCGGTAGGATGTGGAAATGATAAAAAAAATTATCACTAATATCACATGCAAACAAAATCTTGCTGAAGATGACCCAAAATTGCTAGAACAGGCTATAAGTCTGGGTTTAGAAGAAGTCATGGCACCAGGGATATTTCGTTTTTTCAATAAGAACTATTTTATTTTCTGTTGTTTTTCCCCATTCACATTGTACTTCTTATATGATCATTCCGATACATGTGCCATGTAAAATTAATCACCATTGATATGCCCACAATTACCCCATTTTTTCAGATCCCCACTGTATCTTTCCTAATTCCTTCACCTCCTCTCTCCACCCACCAACTCTGCAACCCCATGATTGTCCTCCCTTCCCTTCCTCAGTCATTCTGCTTCCTCCCCTTCCCTCTTTGGAAATCCATACACATTTCACTGGTTAAGGGATATCATTGTTGATGTCAGATGGATCTTGGCTGAAAGCAGAGAATATCAGAAGAACGTCTGTGTTTTATTGACTATGGAAAGGCATTTGACTTTGTGCATCATAACAAAGTAAGGCTAACACTGAGACTAGTGGAAACCCCAGAAAACTTACTTATGCTCTATGAAACCTGTACCTAGACCAAGAAGCTGTTGTCTGAGTAGAGCAAGGGACACTGCATGGTTTAAAATTAGGAAAGGTGTGTGTCTGTCCTTATTCAATTTGTATGCTGAGAAAATAATTTAAGAAGCTGAATTCCATGAAGAAGTATATGGTATCAGGATTGGAGGAAGATTTATGACTCATGTTGTTGTTGTTATGTACCATTGAGTCACTTGAAAGTCATAGTGACCCTATGTACAACAGCTCGTAACTCTGCTCTATCCTGAGCCAACCTCTTTGTCTCTGACACACCTACCCCCACTATCCCAGTCACTGAGTCAATCCACCTCTTTGAGGGTTTTCTTCTCTTGAGCTGTCCCTCCACCCTCCCAACTATGATGTCCCTCTCCTTGCAACATGCCCAAAGTATGTCAGATGAAGCTTCAGAATCCTTGCCTCCAAAGAGCAGCCTGGTCTCACCCTCTCTAGGATGAACCTGTTTGTTCTCCTAGCAGTCCACCTTAGTCTCCAGATAACAGATCTAAACTTTGCACCATTCTCATGATCTCTGATATGCTTGAGCTCATTGCTAGTCACTGTGTCAGTCCATCTTATTGAGGGTTGTCTTCTTTTTCCTCTTATTGAGGGACATTCAAGACAAAGGAGTTGTTTGAAACTAGAAGAGGCCGTATAAGTCATAGAACTCTCCTTCTTAAAGAGGGTCACTCCAACTGAGAGTGAATTCTGACTCACAACAACCCTGTAGGACAAAGCAGACTTGTCCTGTGGAGTTTTTAAGCCTCTGATCTTTGAGCTCTGATGGCCTAGTCTGTAGGGAGCTGTGTTGCTAAGGCAAAGGCCATACCTCTCTGGCCATACCGCTCTAGCCTAGGGCTAGAGACTGAGGGGCTGGTTTGTCCAATTTCTCTTAGTCCAGGGTCAGATCTGGTTTGTCCTATCACTGAGTCAAGCCCCTCCCAGGATATATATAGTCTCCTATCCTTTCCACCATGAAGATGTGGCCAGGCTTTCCATCCTGGCGCTGGCTCCACAGGACAGTGATATTGGGACAAACAAATAGGAAGAAAAGCACAGTGTGGAGAATCCTCCCCGCCCCTCGCAAAGATGCCCATTTCCTACCAGTTCAAACACTCTCCATTGTGCCCGGGGGAGGGCATTGCTGACCTAAAGGTAGGACCTCTCTGATGGTTCAAATCCACCAGTGACTTTGTGGGAGAAAGATGGGCCATTTTTCTCCTGTGTGATTTACAGTCTCCCAAAATCCCACAGGAGAGTCAGCTATGAGTCGCTTCCGACTCCACCTGCCACGAGTGAAAAAGCTCTTGTGAAGGCTGTGTAGGCTGAGTTGGCCACAAGGTGGCAGGCTCAGTGTGTTTTAATTTTAAACCAAAACCCATGCTTGCTGTCTTCCTACAGATTCCTGGCTCACTGTGGCCCTCCCCCAGGTGCTGAAGGCTGCAAATCTTGACTGGAGCTCGCTGTTGTTAGGTACTGCCGAGCTGACTACGACTCAGTGACTTTATGAACAACAGATCTGCACCTTGCTCTGTTCTGTGCCATCTTCAGGATCTCTGATATCCTCGGGCCCATTTTTATAGTCGCTGTGTCAGTCCACCTGTGGAGGGTCTTCCATCCTTTCTCTGACCTTCCACCTTTCCCAGCATCATCTATTTTATTCCCCATCCCAGAATTATCCTTTATTAACTTGCAAAACTCACTCTT